ATAGAAACCTGGGGTTAAATCCTATCACTAACCATAATTTATCTTCCTAGAGCCTCGGGTGTTTTTTTTTTTTTTTTTATCTGTAAACTGAAGATAATACATATTTTCGAGGTATCTTCTAGAATGGTTTTAAGGATCATATTAGCTAATGTATATAAAATGCCTAGGATTCAGTAAATGTTAGCTTTCATTGTCACCCTGCTTACTTGCCAAAAAAAACATGCCAAAACCATCATTCCTTCTTCAAGACCCCTGCTCAAGCTCCACTGCTTTTTTTCCCCTCTGCATCTGATCATGCTTCCCATGTCATATAGTAGTTATTGCTTTTATTATAATGAGGTTAGGGGTCTCTCAGTTCTTCGATTCTCTTTCCTTCATGTGGGCTCAGGCTTACTGTCCCCACTCACATTCTGAAGATTTCTCCCTTTCCGTGTGAAACTACCTCTGTTTGGATTTTATCCCCTAGCAGGTCCATATTTTAACCCCAATATTGCCTACGTTTTCACCTTTTCTTCCTTCACCAGTTCTTTCCCCTCAGAATATGAAAAGCCTCTCCCTCCTATTAAAAAACAAACTAATAACAAAACCAAACTTCTCTTGACTATGGTAGGTTCAATTGTATCTTTTTCCTTTCTTAACCAAACTCCTACCTTTTTTTTTTTTTTAAGATTTTTTTTGATCCAGAGAGTGTACGCACAAGTCAGGGGGGAGGGGCAGAGGGAGAGAATCTCAAGCCAACTCCCTGCCAAGCAGGGAATCCAAGATGGGGCTCTAGGTGGGGCTGATCTCACAACTCAGGGAGCATGACCTGAGCCAAAATCAAGAGTTGGCCACTTAATCGACTGGGCCATCCAGACACTTCTACTTTTTTTTTCATTTAAATTTTATTTTTTCACCTTTTGAAAGGGCATTTCATGAATCAAAATTCAAAAAGGCATACAGTACAGATTCTCCCTCCTACCCTTGATTCTCAAGCCATTTACCTTCCCTGAGCAAATGGTTTCCTGTTGTCTTTAGAGATCAGTCTGTGCATGTATAAACAAATACGCATTTTTCCCTTTGTAGGAAAAGTTTAGCATACTATAGATACTCCTCTGATTCTTGCTTTTTTTGTTAAAAAAGTATCTTGGAGGTCTTTTTATATCAGTGCCTAAACAATTTCCTCATTGTTAAAGTGTTCTCAAAAGCAGATGCCAAGATGGGATTAGACATGCAAGAGACTTACTGGAGGAAATGCCTGTGAGGGAGAAAAAGGAGGGAGCTGGAGACAAATCAGATAGTGATGCTGATCTGAGCCCCATGAAGGGAGGGGAATTAGGAGGGTTGGGGTAGGCAGTGACTCAGACTGCAACATAGTTCTAAGAAAGTTTCAGACAGGCTTAAACCTGGGGATTCCTTAATACAAAGTCACACATCAGAAGAATCCTGCATCCTGCAGGAATGGACCTGTCTGAATATCCTGCTATGCTCAATCATCGGTAGGGAGCAGTCCATGGGGAGTGTGGCCTCACTGCAAATACAGTGGTAGATTCAGGGCTTAGCAGATGGAGCCTCCTTGCAGGGAAAAGATCTGAGGGGAATATTTTATAGCCTTCATATTATTTTTGGGGCTGCATAATAATCCACTGATGGATGTGCCATACTTTAGCCATTTTGGCAGGCACATCATAGCATTTACCACAGAGAGTGGTACTACTGTGTAATTTTTTTTTGAAACTACTTTGTAATTTTGATTGATCAAAATCTAATGTATATATTTTGTGAATGTGTACTTCCACTAGCAATGTAGAAGACTATTTCCTCATATTCTTAGTAACACAGGGTGTGGTCAACCTTTTTGATTTTTTTTCAGTTAGCCTTTTTAGAATCTATATTTGATTTTTTACTTAAACATTTTCCCACTTTCCATTTATTCCCAAGTACATACTCATTAAGCCCTAGCTCTACAATTTGCTAGCTGTTTGTTCATATGTAAAATAAGAATAATAAATCAACAAATCTGATAGGGATATTTTGAGGATAAAATGAATGCAAAACTCAATATATTTTCAAATCTAAACATGTAGGCCAGACTTCTTGTTGGCAGGTAAAAATATTCATCTGCTGGGCAGCCCTGGTGGCTTAGCGGTTTGGCGCCACCTTCATGCCCAGGGCGTGATCCTGGAGACCCAGGATTGAGTCCCATGTCGGGCTCCCTGTGTGGAGCCTGCTTCTCCCTCTGCCTGTGTCTCTGCCTCTCTCTCTCTCTCTCTCTCTGTGTCTCGAATAAATAAATAAAATCTTAAAAGAAAAGATTTAAAAAATATTCATCTGCTTACTTGTACTTTAAAAAAATGTTTTATTTAAATTCAATTTACTTGTTATTTCTATCTTGATGCCCCACACGCACTTCAGATTCAATGTACTCCGGCCAAACTCATAATTTTTCTCTTAAAAATTGCTCTTATTCCTGAATTTACCTTATCATTAAAGTCAAAACCCTGGAAGTCATTTTGGATTATTCTCTCTCCCTTAAACCCACATTCAATTAATCACTAGGTTCTGTTGAATTTGATTCATAAATAATTCTGGTATCTGTCGTTTTCTCATGATCGGCACTGCCACTCTATGCTTTAGATCCCTGTATTTTATAAGTATTAAGGCAATAGCTTCTTCTTCCTTTTTAAATTTTTTTTTTTATTTATTTAGGATAGTCACACAGAGAGAGAGGCAGAGACAGAGACATAGGCAGAGGGAGAAGCAGGCCCCATGCACCGGGAGCCCGACGTGGGATTCGATCCCGGGTCTCCAGGATCACGCCCTGGGCCAAAGGCAGGCGCTAAACCGCTGCGCCACCCAGGGATCCCTCTTCTTCCTTTTTAAAAAATAGTCTCCACACTGAACATGGGGCTTGAACTCAAGACCCTGAAATCAATAGTCATGTGCTTACCAACTTGGGGAGACAGCCAGGAACCCCAAGGCAAGAGCTTCTTTACTATTCTCACCTTCCTCCAATCTATCCTTAACACTTGTCAGAAGGTTTTCAATATACGATACTGATTATAATGCTCCTTAGCTCAAAAGTCTTAAATGGCTTCCTATTACCTATAAAATGACGAAATCTGAAACCTCTATTTGACACACACACACACACACACACACACACACACACGCTGCTCTTCATAATTTGACCTGCTTATCTGTCCAATCTCTTTTTAGATATCCCCTTTCCCTGCTTTAATCTCTAACATTCAAGCTAGTTGCATTTCTCAGAATATGTCATGCTCTATCATGATACATGGTATCTGCCATCCTTCCTTAAATAATTTCCTGCTACTAGCCTACTTGCCCTTCACATAAGGTTCTTTATTTTTTTATTTTTTTCATAAGGTTCTTTAAATTTGGGCTCAAACTGACCTCCCTGTGAAGCCTGGCCTGACCCCCCAGAAGTCTTCCTAGTCTATCATTGCTCTTCGTACCCACACCATTTATTTTTAATTTGCTTGCGTGTTTATTTCTCCAATAGGTTTTAGCTCCCCTGATGGAAAAAGACCAGTTTTCATCTGGTATCTCCAGCACTAACCCTGGTTCCTGGACATAAGAGAAACTAAGATTTTCAGATACGTTTTGATTGACTTCAAGATCTGAGAAAGTTCCCTAAGAAATTTACTCTTGTAGTAAATCAATGATCTCCATCCCCCACTCCCAAGTTTTCCAGGTTTCTTCCCAAACCTAGCAGGTGGGTGGGGGTGGGGGGTGGGGGGGTGTCACTACTAACTTTCCTTACCACTTTAGATAAAGGGGACCAATTCTTCCTTTGTGCTCCCACTAAATGTGGTATATTATTCTTATCCTAGCACCAATCACGCATAAAATCGTATCCCAAGCATCCTAAGGACGCAGGAATTAAATGAATCCATATTCACCTTAAGGACACTTTTTCAGACATCCTTGGAGAACGTCACCATTATGCACAGACCGTAAAAAAAACAACATCTTTTACAATGCAAACCTGATGCCTGTTTTTAAGACGATGCATCCTCCTGGCACTTGAATTGTCCTTAGACAGATGGCCCAAAGCTTGGCTGTGGGAACCGCATATGGTAGGAGGAGACCATGACTCGAGCGCCAGGAAAAGGATGATTGGCTGCCGGGGCTCAGAAGTTCTCCGCAGACCGACGCCAGCCCTAGGAAACCGCTGAGGGTTCAGCTTTTGAAATACGGTTTTTGCATCGTAAAGAAAAAAGATGGACCTATCAGAACAACCGAGCACACCCAATTACCAATCAAGAGCGGGAAAGGAGCCAAAGCCCGGGGATACCCACGCACCGACGAGGACGTCATTCTCTAGTCTCAGCCAATGAGCGGCGGAGGGGGGCGGGGCAACGAGCGGACCAATCGCCACGAAAAACAGTCTGGCAGCACAACTGCTCTAACCACAGTCCTCGCCTCTCTAACCGCCGGCGCAAACTCCTGAGCCGAGCACTTGTTACATACTTTCCGCTCTCCCTCTCGCCCGGGGCAGTGATAGTGGAGTACCTTCCTCTACACCACAAGGGCCTTTTTTCCATCAGCTCCCCCACAGACTCGCAGAAAGAATACGGCAACTTGAAGCTCCCCACCTTCACAGGAACTGGCAGTCCGGCGCTACCTGAGGGGGGGGGGCGGCCGCAGTGCGCAGGCGTGCCCGCCTCGCGGGGGGCGGGGCTGTGGCGGCCCAAAGCAGCCTGGGTGTTGTATTTCTTCTGCTGGCAAAACTCGGTTGCTGTTGGGGCCCCCGGAACTACATTTCCCAGGAGCCCCCGCGACCTCGGGGTGGGCGGGATGGTTCGTTAATGAGCTCGAGGAAGCCGCGGCGCGGCCCACCAGGTTCCAAAACAAGGAAATGAAGGGGGGAGGCGGGACTGGGGCTGCCTGCGGGAGCCGCCGCCGCCGCCGCCGCCGAGGAGGAGGAGGAGGAGGAGGAGGAGGAGGTGGTGGTGGAGGAGGAGGTGGCTGCCGCGGCCGCCGAGGAGTCCCTTGCTGAAGGCGGACCGCGGGGCGGCGGGCGGCGCGCGCGCGCCCGAGAGGCGGCTGTTGGAGAAGTGGAGCGGCGGGCGCGGGGGGAGGAGGAGGAGGAGGAGGGACTGAGCGGCGGCGGCCCCCGCGTCCCGGTGCCTCTATGGGGAAAGCAGACAATGGATTATGATTTCAAGGCGAAGCTGGCGGCGGAGCGGGAGCGGGTGGAGGATTTGTTTGAGTACGAAGGGTGCAAAGTGGGACGCGGCACCTACGGGCACGTCTACAAGGCGAGGCGGAAAGATGGGTAAGAGCAGGGGCGGGGGGAGCGGGCTCGCCCGGGTCCTCGCCCTGCCCGCGACCGCGCGGGGCGGCTGGGTCGGAGCCGGGGCGGGCCGCTCCCGGGGGGCGAGGCGGCGGGGGGCGCGGGGCCGCGCGTCCCGGCGCGGACTGGGGGGCGCGGGAGCTGCCCCCCCCACCCTCCACCCTGCACCCTCCGCCCCGCGCGGCCCCGTCGCGCCCCGCGGACTCCCGCGGCGCAGCCCGGTCGGGGGGCGCCGGTCCCGTCCCCGAGGGCGCCCCCCGCGCGCCCCGGGCTGGCGGCGGGGACTCGAGGGGGCACCTCGGGCGGAGGTGGAGTTGGCGGGGTCTGCTCTCGGGGGCGGGCGGGGGGGCACGCGGAGCGCCGGGAGAGCTTCGTCGAGGAGTTGCCGCTCCGGCCCTGGGCCGGTGACGGTCGTGGCGGAACTTCCAATCGGCTGAGCGCCTCCCCGGGGGCGGCGGTTTGAAACCCAGCCGGGGAGCCGGCGGCGCGGCCGAGCGCTGGGGGCCCGGGCAGCCTCCCGGCTCTGGGCGCAGCCCCTGTCTACACCCGCCGACTTCTGGATCCATCCTCCCCCCGCCGATTCCGCCTTTGCACCTTGTGAATTCCGCGCCTCCCCTCCAAGGTGGGACTTCCCGGGAGACCAGCCGCGCTTTACCGGCGGAACTTCGCCTAGTTCCCTAACTCGTCCCCCCACCCCTCACCCCCCGCGACCTTGGGCATCCTGAGGTCCTCCGCACCCCGACCTGGGGCATCCTGAGGTCCTCCGCACCCCGACCTTGGGCATCCTGAGGTCCTCCGCACCCCGACCTTGGGCATCCTGAGGTCCTCCGCACCCCGACCTGGGGCATCCTGAGGTCCTCCCCACCCGCACCTGGGGCATCCTGAGGTCCTCCCCACCCGCACCTGGGGCATCCTGAGGTCCTCCCCACCCGCACCTGGGGCATCCTGAGGTCCTCCCCACCCGCACCTGGGGCATCCTGAGGTCCTCTCCACACGCACCTGGGGCATCCTGAGGTCCTCCCCACCCCAATCTGGGGCATCCTGAGGTCCTCCCCACCCGCACCTGGGGCATCCTGAGGTCCTCCCCACCCGCACCTGGGGCATCCTGAGGTCCTCCCCACCCCAATCTGGGGCATCCTGAGGTCCTCCCCTGCGCCCCCCTGGCCGAATGACTGCGCGCTGGGGGCTCCCGAGCACCTGGATGGGCCAGGACGGAAGGCGGGCCTGAATCTCTTGTTCTCCCGGGGAGTTGAGGGCGACCCGTGGTAACACCTCTTAGAAGCGTCCATGGATCGCCGTCTTAGGAGAAGGCGAGTTGGAGAAAGTATTGACAGCGCCTGTCCTTGGTCCTGTAGGGAAGCCGGGCGCGGGCTGCAGGGCCGGAGGCACCAGCTCCCGGCGGCGAGGAGGGTCGGTGTAAACCCTTGGCCTCCCCTCCGCCCACCCTGGCGGGGATTCCCCTCCCCCGGAGCCGGGAGCCCGGGAACGCCTCTCGAGCCCTCCCGCCTAGATTCCCAAGGCTGTCAGAAGCCACGCGGAGGAGAGAGTGTGTAGGCTCGTAACGGGACATCCCTGAAGGAAGGGAGGATCGGCCGCGGCGACGTTAGTGGGACTGGCGGCGCTGCGTCTCGTCCTGCGCACCTGCCTGTTGCCGTCGCTGCAGCTGGTGTGGGGGGGCCGGGGCGGGAGCAGGCGGGGGCCGTGCGCAGGTGCCGGGGAGCCCGCGGAGCGCGACCTTACCCGCCGTTTCGCCCTAGAGCGTCGTGGGCCTCACGAGGTGCTGCACACGTGCGAAGAGAGGATCGTGAGCCGCGTTTAGGTTTTGCCTTCTGAACCGGCCGAGCCCCGTGGCGTTCAGTTGTGACTTAACTCACGGTTCTTTCAGTTAATTGCCAGGTGTCGTCCTTGAATTGATATCTTGGACTGTGAGGCACTATGATTAACTTGTATTTTGCTTCTGGAATATTAGCTCTGCTTGTTCTCCTGGTGTCCCTGTAAGGAATCTTAACAGATGCACTTGGGGGAGAGCACATCTAGTTTTCCTAGTTGGACACTGGCGTTACAAAACGAATCCCACCTTGTGTGTTTTTCATACTCCTCGTGCTTACGTTGTGATGCACTTGATCTGGAATTTCTAAGATGTATTTTCATTTTTGTTGTTAAAAATAGCTTCCTTTCAGTAGGTAACTTGTGAGAAAAATTGAGGATTCTGCTTTTGAATTGTATTTTTTGATAGCATGGGCCACAACCAAAAAACAGATAAATTTAATTCCTGCTTCTCATTGTTCTTTTTTTTTTAAATATTTTTCCCCTCTAATAAAGTTTTTGATTCGACTACACTTTTCTTCTTGAGTGAAATTTGTTTGAGCAGAATTAATAAAGTTTCTCAAATAGAATAAGATCAGTTTGTGTATCTTCAAAATACGCTTTTTAAAGAAACTTTTAGGATCTGAAACCATTAGTTGATATCACCGTATTGGTTATAAGAAAAGTCATTATAAAGGCAGGTTTTCTTGGGTCAAAGGTGTAGTTGAGATTTGAGGTTTTACAGTAAACACATCTCTTGTGGGTTGGTAGGATTAGTTTTATGTTCAGTGATACAAGCGATTTGAAAGAACAAAGTTTTTAGTGATGGTTCTAAGCTGTGATGCAGATTTGCGTTAGTAAAGGATTTTACACTCTGATCATGGTCCATTACAGGTTAGCTCTTGACAGAATTTATTTTGGTTAATTCAGAAAAAATGTAGAATGCTATCTTATGGAACAAGAAAAAAAATGACATGGTTCATTAAAGAGAAATTATTCTGTATATGACATATTATTATGTAACCAAAAAATCATTCAGATCTTTCAGAGAAACACTGGAAGAATGTAACCCCAAACATCACTAGAAAAATCTCTGCTTGTAGTTTATAACTACTCTACACCTTAAAAAACCTTAGAATATTTCCATCAAAATATGATTTTACCTTAGGCTATGTCAGTTGTACCACATAAGTTTATAACAGAGTGGAAACGAAAGATTACATTTGGGTTTTTCACTTTTAATAATAATATTACTTGTTCTTTTTGTTTTGGAGAAAGAGAATCTTTTGACCCAACCATCCTTTTTAATTAAAATTAGGCTTAAAAGTTATTCTTGAGAAACAAGTTCAGAATATTTCTAGACTTTTTAGAAAGAGCAAGAATTTGTAATGGTTTTTCTTTTAGCATTAACATAACATCACAATGGTTTATGGTTACAAATCTCAAGGCGATGTTTCTTAAATTTGAAAAACTTTGTTTTGATTGATAAAGGAACATTATTAAAAAGTTCTTTTGTCAACAAGAGGTCCAAACAAATGATTGCATAGGATAGTGTTAGGTCTGAAAACTGTTGTATCCAACAATACTACTATTCAACTTTGCAAACATTCATTGAGCCTTTGAACCACTCCAGTAAAATAATGCTCCTTTTTGGAAATGTTTTTGAGAGATACTTGGTAGTTGAAAGTGAAATGGCTGACAACAGAGTTTCACTTTTGCCTTAGGGTTTCAGATGAGTAGTTGTGACTATACATCTTAATGTATCTTAAGTTACAGGTGAGTAATTGGTGACTGCATGTCTTCATGTAGGTCATGAAATCCTTCACAAATGTAGTTAGGTACATGTGGATGCATATAGATAAATAATAAGCATGGCCATATCAGCCTGGTTTTGATGGATTTTTCACATTTGGCTTGTAGCTAGGCAATTGTATTTGCATTCTTTTTCTTGGCAGATCTACGAAGATTAAAGAAGTATGATTGTAGCATTTTAGAATGCTATCAAGAATTTTGGATCATTTAGTCTCATTTCTTTTTTACAAATGAGAAAACCAGAGCTGTCATGACCAGAGTCTCATAGTAAAGACAAGCCTCACAGCAAATTACAAGACAGTAATCCAGATCTCGTGACTGAGTTGTGGCATTTTCTGATGTGTTTTCCTTCTTAATACCATAGGAGGCAGAACAAAAAAGGCAACATTGCCTCCATTTTTGACAATCTTACTATATAAACTTTTTCCATGCAAAGAATATATCTATACCAACAAATACAGAAAAGGGAAAATATCACATGGACATTTAAAAAGAGCAGGAGTGCAGGCCTATAGTCCTTTTCATCTGGCTTCTCTCTTCATTCTCACTGTCCTTACTTTGGTCTGCCATCTCTGATCTGCACAGTAGCCAAGCTGGTCTCTGCTGTTAGTCTTTCCTCACCATAGTCAAAGATCCAAGTTGCCCAGGGTCACTTTTCTATAAAACAAAATCAATCATGTCCCATCTTGGAAAACTGTGGATTTCTCTATGGATCACATCTGATCTTAATTCCTTACTTTGGCACGTAAAGCTATTTGCATTCGGATCCTAAAGTCTTTTAGTCTTTACAGACTTCATTTATACTTGCCATCAACTCCGTCCTATTTTCCAGAGCGTTCAAGCCATGTTTCTGTAGCACTGGACTTTGTAAGTCCTTTTCATGTCTTTTTTTTTTTTCCTCCTTCCCTGCATTCAAAGTAGAATGGTGTTGCCCTGCCATTCCTCCCTCCCTTTTCTCACTCCCATAAACTTGGTAAACTCCTGCTCATACTTAATACCCAATTCAAATAGTTGTTCTTCTAGAAGCCTTCTCTTATTCACCAAGGAAACTCATTAGCTGTGATTTTGCCCTCTTGTTGTTAGGTGTGTAATATTGCTTTTAAGTAATAAGCTGCAGGGCTCAGTCTTACAACCCTGAGATCATGACTTGAGCCCACATCAAGATTTGGAAGCAAAACTGACTGAGCCACCCAGGTGCCCCTTCGGTGTTTTTGCTAGCTATTTTATAGAGATGCTTAGAAAATGCCAGCATTCAAGCATACTTTAGGAAATTTATTGATATTTTGGGTTTACGTTTAATTGGCACTAGTAAATCATTGGTTTATGTTTAGTTGGTTCTTCATTAATGCAGTGCAAGCCTTCAG